ATATATATATATATATAGTATACATACTGTTGCTTCATGTTTTTCGATTCATTTATACAATCCTCACATCGAACCTAACCTAACTGGTTTTCCCGCGTTTTATATATTATTTATATGTATCCTCCTAACTACTATATATTAAATTTCTGAAGCGTTAATTAATATTAATTGATGAGATTTTCTTTGAAAATAATAAAAATTCCGATTACGTTGAATAAAATAAAATATCGAAATTTTTATATTAGAATATAATGAGAAGTCATTCAAGTAATCAAGATATTTTGTAATAATTTCTATATAAAACTTATAATAATTATATTATTAAGAAAATCATTAAATGTAATTAATATTATAATTAAAAATATAATGTATTAATACAAAAATAAGTTATATAAATTAAAAAATAACGTAAAGATATTAATTTGTGCGAGGAATAACGAACACCGCAACAGAAATAACTGCGTGGACTTACTTCATCATGCAAACGGACAATCTTGAGTTTCAAAGAAATCTTTCCTTTCTGCATACATTCTCCATTTGCACATCTGGTACATCGCGTTTTCGAAATTTGTAATTTCACTTTAATAATTTCATTAAAATACACTACACAACCGTTCATATATATATTTCAGTAAACTATAAGTCTTAAATGTAAACCTGGCAAGGTTAAAAATCAACGTTGCACGTTGACGTTTGAGGTTAGAATCGACAGGTAGCAGTAGTGGTAAAATTGGAAGAACGCATGCGCAGTATACCGAATATATGTTACGCATCCAACTTCAATGTTCTGTTCACCGCGTATTTCAAGTTTTAATATTTAAGCTTATACAATATATTACAAATAATTAATGTTATATATTATTGAATTTTTAAATAATAAGGATATTAAAATAATAAATAGTTTGAATAGAAAGATTAATAAAAAATTTATTTCAATATTTATTTCATTAATTGTAAAAATTAAATTTCTTTCAAATTTATATTTTTTTTAGATTTTTTTATATAATTTTATTTTATATAATTTAGTTTTTTTTAGATTTTATTTAATTTTTTAATCAATTATTTAATTAATTTTTAAAAATATCACCAAATATCTATATTCACATCTTATTATTATTTGCAAATTTTGATAAATTACATTTCATTTTATATATTATTTTATTTTCAAGAATATTGTTGACAAAAGAAAATTAAATTTAAATGAATTGTAAATGAATACGTAAAATTTAATTATTTATTTAGAATTTTTTACTATCTTCACTATTATCTTTATTATTTTTATTAGATTTGAAATTTGAATACTCTAATTATTTACACATTTTCCACTATCAGAATTGCAGTTTCCATAAATATTTCGTAATTTTCATTCAGTATTTGTTATAAATTTCATGTTATATAATATTATAAATGATTTAAAAATTTATTATTATAATTAGCTTTTAATTATTATATTTTGACTTTTAAAAAAAAATTTTTTATTTAAATCAAGAATTAAAAAGAAATAATTTTCTGAATCAAAATTGCTCAATTTTCTCTACTAATATATTTCTTATACTATTTCTTATACTTCGTTTATATTATAAAGGCATTTCCTCAAATTAAAATTGTTTTTCGCAAACAATCAAATACATGCATGTAACTTTAATTATATCATACAAATTATACATAAATAATGTTATGTGTAATGACTGCGATAGTAATACATACATTTATATATTATATGTACATATCTATACTATATGTATGGATAGATACATATAGATAACACAGGCAAGAATATAACTTACCTATGCAGCTGTACCGGAGTAGACCTCGCGGGTAAATGCTGGTTATGCGAGACCGGTGGTTGTGTCTGACCCCTGCCAGGGGTCGACGTTACACCGACCAGTGAGTGGCCATGGGGTCCGTGAGGATGACCGTGGGGGTGGGCGTGTGGGTGTGGAGGATGGGAGTGGGGGTGAGGATGATGATGGTGATGCAAATCTGCCCCCACTGGACCCACAGGGCCCACCGGACCCCCCACCCCCAGTCCGCTTACTACCTGGACTTGCTTGCTCACTGTCTCCATCACTCCTAGCGCATTGTGTACTGAAACAAAATGCATAAAAATTCATTAAAAATATTATTTTTATTTCTTTTCTAATTTTTTTCTTAATTAATTGCTTCTAATCATTAAAATATTTTATGAGAATTTATTTAATTAAATTGATAAAACACAATAGAAATAGAAATGTAAATTGCAAAAAAATATTTAATATATGCTATAATGAGAAATGAAAAAAAAAATCTGGACAAATTTTTAAATTCTTTGACTATTAAATTTTGTATATAGATGTATTGTTTTATCTTTCTTTTTAACAATTTTTTATCTTAATTAAATATTTCTTCGCATACGTTTGAATATATTTCCATATACTAATAAAGAAGATATTATAATTTTAATAATAATAATATCAACAAGTACAACATATTATTAATGTGACAAATATACAAATATTACAGATATTGAAAAAAAATATATATATCCATATATATTTCAATTTATAATTATTTTATTTTTATTAATATTTATATACATAAAAATGAAATTAAATTTCTTCAATATTTCAATCAATGATTATCAAAGTTTATCAGAGAGATTCAAAATATCATTAAATATTATCACTTTTGAAATATCTGCAAAACATTTTTCTCTATCTATTCCATGTCTATATATTAACAAAAATAATTAAGTAATCTGTTATTTTAATTATATCAATGAATTTAGTTTGTTAAATCTATACAAATGAAAATTTATAAAAATTTTTGTTTATATTAAAAAATTTATTGAATAAATATTTTTTAATGATTTGAAATTCATAACCATAAACAATATTATTATATATATTATTTAACGATACAATATAGTAATTTCATAATCAATAATTATGATATTATATATGCAACATATGTAACATATGTAACATAATGATAAAAAAATATTTCGATTTGAAACAACGAATGATAATATTTGTAATTTGCAATAAAATTTAATAGAATTTTTTCAGAATATATTTTTCAGAATATATTTTTCTTGTTTTTTAATCCATGATGTAGTATTAGTAATAAAGCACATCAAGAACAGATGAAAAGAAAGGTCATGAGAATGTTATACATTAGAAAGTACGTGATAATATACATCAAGCAAGACAATGTCATTATCGGATTTATGATGGGAAATATTGTAGTCATCGTTTTTATTTAAATTTTGAATAGTATTTAATAAATTATATATTGTTATATATTTTGCGAAAAAAATGTTCCAGCATATTTTCATTATTTAATTCCATTATTAATAATTTCTATATATATTTTTATATTTTAGAATAAATATTTCTATCAAATCTATCAAAAAAAAAAAGAAAATTTTCATAATAAACTCAAGCGAAATATTTTTTTAATAAATCATAAATCATTTATTACTTTTATGATTTTTAACAATAAGTATACTTAATTAATATTATTAACGATATTTCATATATATCCATCAAATTATAAAAATATATATGTACGATTATTTCTTGAATTTATAATATTTCTTTGAACAGGTATTATAAGAATCAACTATTAAAAGAATAAATTATTTTCCTTTTTCCTATTATTCATCTTTTCTTTCTTTTTAATCTTTTTTGTTCTTGCTTATTTTTAATATTTTAAAAATTTCTTATAAATTATTTACGAATAATTCTATTAAAATTTAATATTATATATTACGTAATATTATACAAACACCATTTAAAATATTACAGGTTATTTTATATTTAAAAGAAGACATATTAAAAATGTAAAAAGTCTTGGATTAAATTTAATTCTCAGGTAAACTGACGTAAAAAATGTCTGTTCATTCGAGAACTTGAATAACATCGCTGATTCACTATGATGCGTCATGTTAAAGACGATTAACAAAGTGTAAATAATTTATATAGACGTGAATGTCATATTTGCACGTGAAATAAATGAAAATCGGCATTAACTCGTGATCACAGTAACGCGATTCTTAAAAAAGACGAAGAGAAGTTCGCAAGGACATCAAAACGGTCGGTATCATCAAAGTAACGGTACTTTAATGATACTCAAAGAAACCGACACGTGTATACATGCATATCTACACTATATAGCGAGACATATATATTATAGAATATACTACTTTAAAATTTTATATTTAAAAAATAACTAAAATCACAAAATTTTTTTTTCACAAGAAATTGATAAATAAAAATTTCAAATTTGTTCGATTCATATCGGAATGATATTTATCTTATCTTTTCAATCTTTTTAAAATAAAAATGTTACCAAATACGAAGATTTTTATTACGTTTGAAATTTTCTTTTGAACGTATCAAACTGTTACATTTTTAAAAATATCATTTATAAAAATAATATTTTACACACTTTCTAAAATTTTTCAGTTTTTTCTATGATAAAGTTTCCAATAATATTAAAATATCCACATATTGTTTTAGAATAATATTTTTAAATGATTTTTTATGAATTAATGAAATAATTAATTTAAATAATAGATTTTAATATTTTTAATTAAATTTGAACATATAGTATCTTTGGTTCAAATTAAATTTTAATTTTTAATATTTTAATTATTATTTTCTTTTATTATTATTGAAGAAATTTTATTATTTTGTATCAATTATTTAAATAATCTATTTGTAATAAAGTAAAAGTATTGATAAATAATTTAAAATGAATATACAACTTATGTATTTTATTCTCATTATAATAATGAGAGTTCTAATTATATTCCTTGGAAAATATCTAACAAACAAAAATAGCAAGGGAATAATATTTCGAAGAATTGCACGCGATTGCATTTCTACTAAATTTATTCGTTAATTCGTTACATATTAATTCTATTACACGTTAATTTTTATATAGTTTTTTAAAGAAATTCTAATATATAAATATAATAAATTGTATCGTGGATCAATTTTAAAATTTAATAAAGATATTTATTAAAAATATAAAAAATATTATAATTAAAAAATTATAGAAAAAAAATAAAAAATTTTTTAAATTTTAAGGATTTCCAATTCGATTAATTTATTAAGAATTTATTAAACTATTTTAAAATAAATATTATATCATTAAATTTATTGATATTTTTGTAATTTTTTAAATTATTATTATTATAATATATCATAATTAATTTAATTGCGTGCAAAATAAATAATAAATTACAAATTATCATGTATTGTTAACATTAAATATGTTTTACTTATATTTTTCACATTTATCCTCATTTATCCACAGTTTATATGAAATAAAATAATTCAAAGCTTTTTTTTTCATTAAAAAATATTGAAATAAATCTAATTTTTTTTTGTTACTCTTAAAAATCTAAACAATCTTTTAACATGTAATTTTATATAATAGGTATATGTATTCGTTAATAAATCTGAACACTTGTTAAGTCACTATGGTCTCCTTCTTGTTCTCTGATCTCTTCATATGAAACTATTATGCTTTTATTCAATCATTAATAAAACTAACATGCTTGTTACATAGGAAACTACATAACATCATACTTAATGAATTTTTGCAAAGTAATCTACAATTGTACAATATAGAAATATTAAAAAAATCAGAAAATCAATTAGAAATAAAATTTTAAAAAAATATTTATGTAGAAAATAAATATAGAGATATACATATACATATATCTAATGAAACAAATATTTTTTTCTATAAATCATCAATTCAAAATAATTTTTATCATATTTTTATGGTATTTTCATATATATGTTTGTATATTATTATCTTCATAAGATATAATATCAATTTGATAAGAGAGGATAAAAAATCAGAGTACATACTTTTTTCAAAAATATATTATATTTTTTTAATTACACATGTCATTAAAAATAATATTAAATCCAGATTTTATAATAGATTGCATATTTGGAAATAAAATATTTTGATATTTTAAAATGTATATATAATTATTTAAATGATATAAAGTATTATTATTTAAATAAAACAATATTTTATTATACTATAATTATCTATATTATATATATATATTATCTATATTATATATAATATATTAAGAAGAAAAAATTATAAATTTAGATTTATTATTCTCTAAATATGAAATTGAAATAATATCTTAAATTTTTTAATTTATTTTATTTTATTTCATTTTATTATTTTAAATAAATATTTTCTGATAAAATTTCTCAAATAATTGAAGATTATTTAAAAATAATTTACTTAATCTTAACATAAAATATATAGTTACTTTTCCTATCCTCTTATTTTTATAGCAAAAATATTTCTATAATATGTATATATATATATATATATATATATATTATGTGGTTCTGATTTAAATATTAAAATTTAAAAGTATTGCAAAAGAAAGACTTATATATATTACATATGATCATTAATAAAAGTCAAAATCAAATGAAATAATTTTGATTTCGGACTCTATGATTTGTCATTATTCCTATTGCTTCTTTGCGATAACTGTGTTCATAGTTCCATGAACATTATGAAGTACGTGCTTCTAACATAAACGCATGCTGCATAATAAGATCATCAACGTGGGTCATCGGTAATCTACGCAGCGTTAACGAGAAGACATAGAAAATCAACGCGACGTGAAAGACGTTTGTATGCACAATATTAGAAGAATATGTTTGCCTTTATATATTGTTTCTTAATTTTAACTCTATTAATTTAAAATTTTTATTATTATTACTATTATTATTATTACTATTCATATTATCGAGATATATTTAAATCGTATATATTAAATTTTGAAAATAATTCTAACTAGACTTTGTATTTATAATTCATGCTTCATTACTTTCAACTTTGATAAGTTAAATCAATCCTCCTAAAATGAAACAACTATTTTCATTAAATAAATAAAACTATTAAAACAAAAATCATATTATTTCAAAGATATAAAAATAATCTTTTTTTTAAAAATCAATTTTATATGAAATAACAATTAATAGAAATAATCAGAAATGCATTATATTTTTAATAATAATATGTGATATATATTTAATTCTATTACTATTACAATAAACTGTCAATAATATTAAACATTATTTTATGAAAAAATATAATATAATTCTTTTGATTCAATACTTAAATGAAACAAAAAAATTTTTAAATTAAAACATAATAATATGTTTTATTCTTTATGTAAATAAATATTATAAGAAAAATCTTATAAGAAATAAATATTCTTAATTTTAAATTGAACATTGAAAGAAAAACTTCTTATAAAAAATTAATTATTCATTCTTAAGACAAAAATAGTAAAATAAAAAATAAGAGGCAAAGAGATTACAGTAACATTTTTAACATCACAAAGGTATAAGTCTACTAGTAACGGAAAAACAACTTACCGGTAATGACGTCAGCTGTGGAAGGTAAGCCGGATCTCGAATTTCCCCCACGAGTAGTCGATCCGTGCGAGAATAATTCACCGTTTCAGTCTCGAGTGAAAATCACGTACATGTGCGCGCGTAATCACGCACACATGCGTACGCGTGCACATATGTGAGTATACCAACCGATCTATTTATAAATTCTATATCGACTTTTAAAAACTTTCGCGAAACACGCTACTCCACATTATACTGTACGTCGCGCAAACTTTTGCTTTTCTTCTCACAAGCTATTCCCTTCGTAGATTTTTTTTTTCTTTATCATCTCTGTTTTCTTTACACTACTACTGTCTTCTCTTCGTTTCTTCGTTGTTGCGTGTTATGTTTGTTTTTCGCTACCTCTTTTCTCTTATTCTTTCGTCGTTTTTATCTTCTTGCTAGCTTACATACACTTTCATGCGTTCCATATCACTCGATATTATACACTTGGAACATAATCTAACTGATTTTTCAAATTTCTTTCTTCCGCTGTTGCTCCAGCGACGATTTCTATAGATAACAGTCGGAGAAATTTAAAATTAGTATCTGGTATTTAAATCTTCCCGCGGAACTGTGGATAATATATAAGGAATTACATTTTGCGCGTGTAAAAATATACGCGATTTCTGTGTAATAATTTTTGTTACAATTCTAAAAACATAAAAAAGAAGAATTTCGATTGTCAAAATCACATAAAATTCAAAATAAAACTTATAATGAAACTGTATATCGGATTAAATTTATTCCATGCATAAAATATGGCTAGAAGTTTGAATAAATTTTTCTTACAAATTTTTTCTCGAAGCATATTTTCTATTTTTTTAAATATTTCAAATATATTTATATTCTCACTATCATGTTTAAATTTAAAGGCATGCTATAAATTTAATTATACAAATATAACTACAATTTACACAGACGATACACATATCGAAGGAACAAATTTCATGATTTAAGCACCAATTGTCTCAATATATGTATTTAGGAAAGTATACCTTTATTATTGTAAGAAACGCGACGCGGCTTCTATACGACGAATTCTCGTTTGCATTATTCTTCCAACATTTTAATTGCGTATCATTATACGAAAGTTTCAATCGAAATAAAAGACAAGATTTTTTTTTCTCTATCGATAACTAAGAGAAGAAAAATATATAAAATAAACGAATGAATTGCGTCAGAGTTTGAGAAAAAGAGAGAGGAAACGAAGTGAAACAAAATGAAGTAGGAAAAAGGAAGGGATGAGGAAAAGGTGATCGCGAAAGATGCCGCGTTGCCGTCGCTGCGAACGCCAATTTTGTCTTCTTTTAACCGACTGACCCTATCACCGATTAGGTGGAGCGCGTTGCACTCCACTTGTTCTCACAACTTCCGCTTCAGCTGTTCGCACAAAGGTCCGCATATCTTTCAGTGCCCCGCTCTCCACGAGAGTCTTGGTGGCTTCTATCTCTCTGTCTCCCGCTTTCTCTTTCTCTACTAGCACTCACAATCAGTACGAGTACACCTCACAGAAATGCAACTGCTCATCATTGCCATATGGCTTACACTTAACTTGCACATTATATTCCACTTGTGATTTCTTATTGCCGTTAAAACCATTGTCATATACGTTTTTCTTACTGTTACTAATGTCATGTATACTGTTGCCGAGATTGTTGTTGCTACTGATACTGCTTTCACTATTAATATTGTTAGGACACTCGTTATCACTCCCACAAAGAAATAAATTTATCGACAAACTTGCTTTCATCGCGCAGTTTTATTATATGCTATCGATAAATCTTTATTTTGCAGTTATTCTCGAAGCGAGATTTCTTCGCTTATAGCAACTTAGCACAGTGCGTGTACGATGCACGCACCGTGCACGCTTCCCGCACACGTGAGCCAGCGCCACCAAGAGAAAGAAATTGGATGACTTTCAAGATGGCAGAACGAGAAACATACGCGCACAGTTTTAACATATACACAATCACGTACACACATACGCACATTTGCGAATCATCACAAAACTGGTCGTGCGAAAAATATTCAAATCAATATTCTTTTCTTCTTAAAGTATATATCATTCTATTGTTTCTTTCACTATTATTAATCTTCTTCTGCTTCCTTTATGTATTTATTTCGTTTCGTTTCCATTCGTTTTTTAATACAGGCTTTCTAATACATATTTGAAATTAATAATTCTGTTTCTTCCTAATCTTTTTATTGTTGCGCAATTATAAATTACTTCATCGATCAAAGCATTTTATCTTTGGATATCATTCTTCTTATATTTTTGTATAGTGATAATGGCAGCAACAGCAATAGTCCCGGCAGTATTTCTGTAAACAAAATTATATTTATTATAATTATATCTTATTTTTTTATGTTATTTAATATATAAAAAAAAATATTGATATCAATACATTTTGATATCAATGTCAGAATTATATCAATAATTTTGAATTAATTATTAATAATTTAAAATTTATTATTTATTTTTTATATATTATTTTTATTTTATATACTATTTTTTTAAATTATATTAGTATAATATTCAAATATAATTTTGAATTTTTTTAATTTTATTAATATTTATTTGCAATTTATATAAATAAGTGCAGAGTCATTATTTAATATTGAGAATTAAAATTTATAAATACTAAATATTAATATTTTACAATTCCATAAAAAATATATTTTTTTATATCATTTTATATATTTTATTACTTTTATATATATAATTATTTTTTAAAATGTTTATAAAATTTTTGAAATATTCAGTGCTTCTAAAATAAAAAAAACTATATTCAGTACAATAAAAATAAAAAAAAAAAATTAAGGATATATACATTCTCATTCATAGAGAAAAATATTATATAAATATAATATAACGGATATTTTTTCGATTTTTTAAAAATCTAAAAATATATTATGTTTAAGTTTTTTTTCATATAATTAAAACCATATGTGTATTCATATATTAATTGTTGCATTTAACAATTGACATTTATAAGTTTATTAAATAATAGTATTTAATTATTAGTTACTTAACAGTACCAGTTAGTTATTTTAATTAGTTATTAATGTTTAATTTAATGACTAATATATTATATAATATATGACTATAATATATATACTTTATAGTTGTGCTATAAAACAAATATACATAATTTTTATTTCAAAATAAAAATTAAATATATATAGAATTTTCTTCGCACATATTATTAAATATATTAAAGCAATATTATAAAAATATTTAAAATCAAATTGAGTAGAATAAAAATGATCGATCTTCGTAGTATACTATATAATAATTTAATAATTTTATACTAATAATTTTTGAATATTTACACAAAAATTTATATCAGGATATATAAAATATATTCATATAGAAGATAAATAAGTATCTCATTAAATAATTATAAATAATGCAAAATTCACATTATTAAATAATATCTTTAATATGTTTAAACTTTCTATAGATCTAAAGTAAGAATAGAGGTCTTTTACCTTGCAAAATAAAGATATAGTTATGTTTTATGAAGCACATTTATAAATCTTGACTTCTATAAGATTGCGAAAGAGTAATGTTCGGCCAAAAAGATGGATAAACATAAATAAGTTACATCAAAACGCTTTCGTAACGAGATATAATGATAATGATAATCTCATAAATAAACAAATTAAATAAATAATAAAATGATAATAAAAATAATTGAAAAAAATTAAAATATTATTCATCATACGAATATATATATTTATCATTTGCACATAATCTGTTAAAATATCAAAAATAATTTAATTTCAATATAATTAGAACAATTTCTAAAATAAAATAAAATTTCAACAAACAAAATATAATTTTTTTAAGTTTCAAATAAATATATAACAATTTGTGTGTAATTTAAACAATACTGTAATGTACTTACAAAAAAAGAATATGATTTTTATTATTTACTATTTTCATTTCAAATAGTCGGAAAATATAAACAAATTCTATAATTCATTATACAAAACTGTAAAAAATAAAAAAAAAACAATAAAAATAATTATCATGCTAACTTCTGAAATGATAATTGAAACGAATCTCTTTTAATATAAAAAATTAAATTTAATTCGTATTTTATTTAACTTGTGTGTGTGTGTGTGTATAAAAATTTTAACAATATATAAAATAAATTTGATAAAAATACTTCTTATATATATATATTATATATATTTTAATAATGATTTTTTTAAAAAATATTTTTATATGTCAAAATTAGTGAAATTTGTATTAAATTCGAACGTGTATAGCTAACAAAAAATATGTTGATCCTTGTTTTTTATATGATTATTATACGATTATATGAACATGTGTAAGTAATTTTATTGTAATTAACATTGAATGTATTGCAAATGTGTATACATTATAAAATTGATTTCTATAATATACACGCATAAAAATAAAAAAAAAACCAAATATAAAATTGTTATTTTTTATTCATGAAATTCATACACGAAGTTTTATTCAAGATATAATTTGAAAAAAAATATAGTTAAATCAAATTAATTATGAAAAATATTTTTCAATAATTTAAATTTTTTAAACAAATATAGAAAGAAAAATTTTAAAAAAATGCATTAATATTTTCGAAATAATTGATCTTCATTAATAATAAATAATAAATATGAATAAGAGTTGTATAAAATCTGTTAACAAATAAAATGTTACCAAAAATGATTAAAAATATAGTCTTTTAGAATATACGATATTCCAGTTAATATTAAAACTAATAATACCAATACAGCAGGTTATAAAGTATATACAAGAATTCATTCCATTCCCGCTGAATACATTCCATCCGAATTATTATTATCTTGCTAAACCTAGAACGGTCGATAGCTCCGCAGTCGTTGTGACTCAAAGTCGGCCCGAATCGAACCGAGAAGAGTCGAATCAAACCGAACTGGACTGTAGTTTTGTAGCGCGTCAACGCGTAAAAAGGGCGAGCGCGAAGAGATAGATCATACCAATGAAAGGACTGTATTTTGTTCACAAATTCTTTTACTTATTCTGATTATTATTCATAATTATGTTAATTTATATATTAAAAAATATTTTTAATTATTAAAACAATATGTCTAAGTATTTTTAAAAACAAATTAAATATAAAGTACAAAATAAATTATTTATAAAAATATTAATTTTCTATTATATATTATATATAATAATTATATAATATATATTATATCAATTATATGCGTTCATCACGAAAATTATGTAAGAAAACAAAGTACATATTATATAAATTATACATAGATCATAATACCTGTTCTATTTATTTTAAAGAATATTTATAATCATTATTCAATGTCCTAATATTTTGAATGTATTTTGAATCTGCATATATAAGGCAATAATGTTTAAAAGATTTTAAACATTTTTATCTTTTTGATATATATGTAAAATATAATATATATATATGTACATGCATTTCACTCTTAGTATTTAAAAATATAGTATTAAAGTATTAAAGTTAAAATACAATTAAGTACAGTTTTTGAAATGTCATAATTAATATATATAAATATTAATAAGATATATGAAATAATAGTTATTTTTCTTTTAATTTATTAATCATATCTATAAAAATAATATAGAATGCAACTATATATATTATATATATATTAAACAATATGTATATATGTATTAAAAAATACATTTGTGTACATTTTTATAAGATTATTTCAAATATTTTTTTTATTTGTTCTCTACATTATATTTAAATATTTAATAATATTTACAGCATAGAAAAATCTTTGAATCAATAAAAATTTAATTTTAACTAATACATAATTCAGTAATTATATGTATTATATATTATATTTTTTATATTATATCATAAATGATTATGAAATGAAATTGAATAATTGCAAAATCAAAATAAAAAAAAAAATATCTTTTGATTTATCATGATTCATTAAGATCTTTTATGTAATGTCACGATAGAATCATAGTACACACCTGTCCTATAAATAAAAAAAAAGAAAAATCTATTTTTTATATATTATTTATATAAAGTAATTACACTTGAAACTTTTTCAAAATAAATAAAGCACAAATAAAATATAAATTATAAATATAAAAATTATAAATATAAATAATAATAATAATAAATAATAATATAAATATAAATAATAATAATAAATTATAAATATAAAAAAATCAAAGAAATACGATATGAAATTTTGGTAATTTTAAAGTTTTAATTAATTTTTAAATTTCATATATGTATTTTTAATAGCATAACATAAATATAAGTAAAATTTTAATAAATTTAGAAATATTTTTCTTTTATAATAATTAAGATATAATTTATTAATAAAAAATATTATATGTTTTTAAACATATGAGGAACGAGTAAAATACATTTAAAAAATATTTTTAAATTTTATTTTATAATTTTATAAAACAAATATTGGTATTTAATTATAAAATATTTTAATATTGTATAGATTCAATAATGAAATGAAAATATGAATGAATGATATGAAAATATATTATGCAATTATTATGCAATGTTATATTTTTTCAATAGCTTAAAATATTTTATTTTTTTTAAATATTCTTTAAAGAATCAATCTCATAAAATATGAGAAAAATAAGTCATTTATAATTTTTTTGATTTTTATAATTAAATATTTATAAAAAATATATTTAAAAAAAATATTTATAATAAATATTGTAAAAACTAAAAAATGGAATAAAAAATGTTTTAAATTAAACAAAAAACGCAGTTATAAAAAATTTTATTAAAAAAACATATGAACTATAAAAAAGAAAATGAATAAATAAAATTTCAAAATAATGAATGATAAGTTTTTATTATAGATAATTGTATATAATGATCAATATCAAAAAAAGGAAATATAATTTTAACATTTTTTTCTTTTATCTATATTAAACAAAAGAAACTTCGCTTATGAAAAAAAAATCAAGATAAGTAAATAATAAAATAATTAATAAATAGTTAAAACAAATAAAAAACAATTAAAGAATTAAATAATAAAGTAATAAAAATCATAAAAAATTATAATAAAAAAATGATAAAAACAAAGTATGAATAATAAAATCAATAAAACTTAAATTAAAAAGATTTGTTTTTTGAAAACTAAATTGCAAGAAATCAAAATTAAAATAGCAGAATTGCATTCGTTATCTAAATCGTAAAAAACCACGAAAAAATTGCAACTGAAATCAAAGAATTACATATTTATATGCTAATAGCAAATAGAAAAATCGTATTCTAAACGTAAAAAATCATGAGCAATTGAAATTAAAGAATCGCATTTTAACACGAATAGCAAATTATAAGAAATTGAAATTAATTAAAATTAAAATTATTTTTTTTGTACAATTGAAATTATAAAAAAAAAAATAAAAATTAACTAATAAATCTTTATACAAATATAAAATTGTAATAATTAAATAAAATATTATATATAAAATATAATAAAATATAAAATTGTGATAATAATATTTAAAATAAATAATTGTATTTTATATTGTCTTATGATCTTATGTCTTTTATAAAAAGTTTTAACTTTCGTGTATAAAAGATTTTTCATATATTTCATTAGATAAAGTACGATTATAGCAAAGACAATTTTATTTAAGAATTTTATTTAATTCAATTAAGATTTCCATATTCACAAAATATAACTTAATTTATTAACTTCATATAACTTTTTTATGTAATTAAAAATAAGAGAACATAATTTTATTTTTTTCTATAAAATATTCTATTATTATATTTTAAAGATATAAAATTTGAAAATTTATATCTAAAAAATAAGATATTAAAAAAAAATTGGAAGAATAAAATGAATTTAAAAGAACAAAGAAGCAAAAAAATTCTGAGGGGCTTAAGCAAAAATGCATTTATTACACGATGTATAGCAAACTCAATGCGAGTATTTATTGAAATATCAATATCAATCGCAGTATCGAACTGTTTTACCCGATCAAAGTACTTTGCAGATAACTGATAAGGTACTCGATTCTTGTATAGTTCACTTACATAACAGTAGGCGTGTACTCAAAATTAGATAGTCGACGTTCTCAAATGTAATTTTTAAGGCAAAAATGAGTATCGAAATTTTTCGAACCCAGTTCTATAAAAAATTGACGATCAATAGAATCACATAACTATGATTAAAATAAATCTATATATTATGAAATGAAAATCTTCAATTCAAAATCAATTTATTAGTTCAAAATTCAAGAATAAAGTCGATAATAATAATATCAGTAACATTGAATAAAAAAAATAAGAGTGTAAATCTTATAGAAGAATATTATAGAAGAATAATTTGAAGATTTTTTTACATTTTACTGTAACAATATATATAAATCAATTGAAGAATTATGATCATAATCTAAATAAAAAAAAAACGCGCTTTTAATGAAATATTTACACAATTATCAAAAGAATAACAATTATCGTATTCATATCACTTAACTAGTATGTTGTGAATCACCAATTTCGTTAGCTAATTAAAACGTAACATTGTCGTTTGTGACAAGATATGAAGAAAACAAAGTTGATATAATGTAAAAGAATGAGACACGTCACCATCGGTTCAACAGTTGCGATCGAGTTCGCTTGTTCCTCGGACAGTAAACGTTTCACAGCATGGCTCATAAGAATTACAAGAAAGAAAAAATGATCGTATTAAATTCATCCACTCACAATACGGTAACATTTTTTTTGTTTTTTGACATGTAACAATTATATAACATACGTACGATTGTGTTCGTTAATTAATCACACGCTGCGTTGTTATCTCTTCAAGTTCACACGAAAAGTGGTCGGAATAAGATATCGCCTATTATTAGATTTGCTATTTCAGGATCTTGAATACTCTCCAGCACTCTGACACTGCTCCGGACACCATTATAAAATGTGATTCTCACGAATGAAAAAAACTTTTGCTATCGATAAAAAAAAGGATACACTGTTGAAATATATCACCAAAACACAAATTCATCGAAACACCTTTAAATTTGTCGGAGATAAAAGAAACAGAACACACAAAATCTAAATATGCAAGTAGCCAAACGTTGCAATGTTGCACAGAAAAATAGTAGAAGTAACACTCGGTCGGTAACTTTGAAACACCATGAAACACTATATAAACACATTATTTTTCATAATCTTAAAAATACAGTTCAAATAAAGATAGAACTGTAAGAGAAATAAGAAAAATGTATGTGCCCAAAAAACTGAAAAATATGAAGTAAATAAATTGCCACGCTACGAACAAAACGAATCGATGGATCGACCAACCGATTAGAACGTACTTTAAATGTTGCAGATGAACATTACAATCGACGAACACAGACGGCACATATGTATCGTATATATGGAATCATTTTCAGTTACAATGCTATGAGAATACATAGTTTCACTTCGTAATTCCACTATATAGCTGTTAAGTTTGCATATAAGTACAGATATATTCATTTTCTCTCTTTTTCTATTATCCCGTTTATTCTATCCGAAGAAAAATAAAATAAATGTAGAGAAGACGAAAAAAGGACAGATAGAGAAGGGAAAAAAAGGATAAAATATATTTTATGATATAAATTAATAATATATGTTGATTCAAATATATACATGAACGGAAAGGATAAATTATATACATTTACGCATATTCTTCAAAGAAAGGAAGATAAAAGAAAAGGATAGTATGTATAGTATAGAATGTGTATGTGTGTGCGCGCGCATGCATATATGTATGTGTATATGAATGTGCATGTATATGCACGAGAAAAAGAAAGAAAGAAACAGAACCTAAAGGAATATATTTAGGTAATTTTTTCTTATGCACCAATTTTTTTTTATCAAACACTGGTCGTTTAAAAGTTTCTTATACTCCTTTAGAGGAGCTTAACACTACCGGGAACGTATCGGTTAGTTTCACCACACATTTCTCTTCTCTTACCCGAACTAGTCTATGATATATTCCAGTGTGGTGGCTGCGATGATTAAAAAACACTCGCGTCTTACATTCGCGCCCTAACGAGAAGGGTAGTCAAAATCGTACGGTCAGTCCAACGTTTTCAGGGCCGCCAGGTTAACGTCACGAAATCCACCGACACAACCATAGATCCAAACGGTGGACGGACGGACGTAAGGACGGACGGCTGGCTGGCAGCAGGCAAGGCGGAATCAGAGAGAGGATCGGGGGGAGGGACTGAATGTAGCGGGGTGAGGGTAAAGTTTCTGGATACGGGGCAGGTGGGGTCATAAGGGACCGGGGACGTATGAGTTGGAGTGGGGTGAAAACGAACGAGAACGAGCGAGCAACCGAACCGACCGACGACGTAGCGTCGCGGGGGACGGAGGTCTACACAGCTCAGGACCGTTTATTCTTGGTTCCTACGGCGCCACCGTTTATCATCTAACAAACATTTTTTTATTTTTTATTATTATTTTTATATTTATTATTATACTATATATCAAATTTTAAATCATTTATATAATATACTTAGAATTTTTAACATAACAAATTAATAAAAAATGTAACGTTTAATTTGCATGTAACGGGATGAAGAGAGATATACATATACAATCCTAAAGATCTTCGCGACTTAAAGGTGATAGTTTAAGAATAAAATGTGATATATACATTAATTATAATATTGCAAGATATTTCAATACATTACATACACGTTATATATATATATTCTAAAGTTTACATCATATATTATTTTCCAAATATGAATTTGTATAATGTACTTTGAACATTTATTTATATATGCTATGTATATATGCTGTTCAATATGTTTTAAATTTGATCATCTGTGATTCATTTACATTAAACTTTTTTAAATTTTTTTTATCATATTTATTTTTAACATTTTTTAATTTGCACTTTGACTAAAATTTATTATTTTTTATAAACTACTAAATGATTAATATTTTGGCATTTATTTAGAAAATTGATTGATTATAAGAATATAAAATGATCAAAATTATATTATAATCTACGAATATATTATTCAAATAGTAAAAAATTGAATATTAAATAAAATTGTATAATTATCATCAGTTATTAAAAATTATTTATATTAATATACTAATATCTCTCTAATTCCTATATATTTAAGATTAAATTTAATTACAATAATTCAATTCACGTGATTCAATGTAATGTTTCAATACGAAAATGATTCAAAACGAAAAATAAAATACAATAAATCAGAAATAAAAAATTACTTTCTATTATGTATCAAACAAAAAAAATATTATAATTATAATAAAACATTCATTTTTATTATTATTAATATAATAAATATTATTTATTTTATATTTTTACATATCTTTATATAGAAATTCAATATATTACAATATAATACTTTATATTTGTTCAATTCATTTTCTTTAATTTTGAAAATAATACAAATATATATTTATATCTCATATTTTTGTTTTCATATGTTTATAAAATCTATTTGTTTCTATATTTTTATAAAATTCAGTTTATTTTTTGATGGTAATGAAATTTGTTTTTGAAAAATGTACATACAAGTAAGTTAAAGTAATATATACGGCACTGTACGGAGCACAAGCAAACTCGCTGCCTTTGCGGCTGGGTAGAAGGGAAGAGAAGGGTTGGGTAGGGAAGAGCAGAGAAATGACGCGAAGGGGCAGAGGGACTGTGAATAGTACGGGTAGGGATATCGGCCGTTGGCGGAGGAGGGTATATGGTTGATCCTGGCCGCGCACATACGAAAGTACGAGAGAGATGAAATGAGCATGTGAACGAGCAAAAAGGAACGAAACAGTGCAAGAGCCCGGCAACGATGCATTACGCATGGCAACGTCGCAAAAGGCTTCATGGACGCCAAGCAATCCACCAACACACAAGTGTACGGAGAACGGCAGCCAGAGAAGGAAAGAATCCCGTTTTACCGAGTTGAAGGAGATAGAAAGAAGAGGGAGGGGGCAAATACACGAGAGAATGAGAGATCTACTGAGTCTTAAACAGGCTACGAAGTTTTCCACCGATCTCTTGAGATTTCAGAAAAAACGTTCGACATATTTTAAATAAATATATTCACATATATTTATATAAATATATAAATATAACATTTATATAAATATAATAGTTTTTTTGCCTAATATTATTTTACTATTAAATTATATTTTACTATAAATTATATTATATTAAATACTGAAATGTATTATTTATACATATCATTTATTATATATTTTACAAACTAAAGAAATTTTATTATCGTTTATCGGTACCAAATTTTATAATAAATCGTATTTAATATGTAATAATTATATATATAAAAATATATTATATTTTCGTTGAAAAATATATATATGATTTATAAATTTTGATAGAGGAATTATTAGATCTTAAAGATTTATGAAGATATATTAATAATTTTATTTTGAATTTTTTTAATTTAAAATTAATTATAAATTTAATTTTTCTATATTTTTAAATTTAAAATGTTTTAAATCAAATATTTTTTTAATGTAATATATAAGTAAATTTAATATCCGCGTATTTGAATAACAAGACAACAAATTAATTTTTTATTTTACAATCGTGAATTCTCATTATGCTCTGCAAATTTTTAATTTGTTTCAAGATAAATAAAATATCGTATCTGAACCAGACTCAAACACCAAGAATCCAGGGGCGTAGACTGACATAAATTATATACCATTTCTTCTTTATCGATAAAAGTGATTTTGCTGCTGAATCATCATTTTTCCTTTTTATTTCGTTCATATAAATACTCTGATGTTTAAAATATCGCCAATCGATACATTACGCTTCTTGTACTGAGAAATAATAACAGAAGTGAAACTGTAAAACAATAACACTGATTACTCGATGGCAAAAGGGTGTGGCAGCGCCATTGAGTCGTTACTCGCAGGAATATAGCAAGTAGTGGGATAATACGTGCGATTGCGTATATTTGTGTGCGCGCACGCGTACATATATATGTATGTAAGTGAATAAGCGAGAAAGAAAGAAAGAAAGAACAGAAATAAGTGGGACGAAGAAAGAAGTGACTGAAGTGCAAAAGAAATGGATAGAATAAAAAGAGAGACGAATATATAAAAAGAGAAATAGAAATGAAGAGAGAAAGAGAAAGAGAGAGAAGGTAGAAGTGGCGGAAACTCAGAGCGGTGGAGTGTGGATGGGGACAAGGATGAACCACCTTAAAGGGGATAGCATGAATCATAAGTAATCAATATTATACCTACGACCGATATAGAAAAATTTTGGACGACATTTAATTTCTGAACATATATAAAAATTATAATTTCAGATTTTCATCTTCTTTTTAAATAATATTTGCAATAATAATTAAACATCTTTAATTTAAAAACTTTATTAATTAAAGAAATATTACTTATTTTTAATTTTCTTTTAATACTAATATATATAATATATAAGGTTTGCATCTTAAATGTTAAATTTTATATATATATTTTTTTAATTGATAATAATATATAGTTATGAAATTTTATTTGTATAAATATAAAATTAACATTTTTATCTCATCCAATAATTAAAATATTCATTATAATTATTGAATTAAAATTAAAATATTTATGAAAAAAAAGAATGAAAGAAAGATCAAAATATTCATTAAGATGATCAATATTCTATTCAATCTACGATTATTTATGTTATATTATGTTAATTTAAAATATATATATTATAAAATGTAACGAAATCATATAAATATATATTTTAATTATATAATATTTAGAACAAAAAATATAATCACATGCACAATTATGAAAATAATTTATATTTTTATAAGCAAAAAAAAAATATATGAAATTATTTTTTCATATACTTTTATATTATATATACAATAATTATATTAAATTACATTAAGGATTGAAAAATTGTTTGAAGAACATCATATGAACAAATATTATAATAAATTATAAATAACTTAATCAATTTAAAAACTCTATTATTAATCTGTTTGGTGTAATGTATATATGTGGTTTCTAAGTACAAATTATATTAATCATAATATTTTTATAATATGAGAAACTATATATATTATAAACTTTTTTTAACAATATCAAACACCAATTAAAACAAAAATTATATAAAAAACACCAAATATTTTCAGCTCTCTTACTATACGCAAAATTTTGTCAATACGAATGTTAAATACCGTTATGTACTTTTTCGTCACGTTTTAACTACGTATGTGGTTTATTGGATTCATGAGATGGCGATCTCGTAAAAGTAAAATAATATAACCTTTTAACTAATCAAAATTAAATTATATTTACATTTTAAATCATATCATATATATTCTGACTTATTTTTCATAAATTTATACGTAAAATGATATATTATTATATTTTAATTTTTTATTATATTTGTATATATTTTTTATATATTTTTTTTCAAAAACTATATTTTTAAATTATTTTAAAATTATTTATTGAGATTAAAAAGTTGTAAACTTTTAATAAGTTTATAATGATATATAGTGATATAATATGTGATTTTATCTGTTTATACATAGAAATCTTTTAATTTATAATAATTTACAGATAACGATATTTATGGAAAATTTAAAAAAAAAATTAAACAAAAAGAATTAAATTTACACAATGCACATAATAGACAAAAATATCTAAAAAATATAAAATATAAAATAAAGTACATTATGATTATTTATACACAAATATTTTATCGTTTTTTATTTTATATTTTTTTTTACTAATTTTTAGTTTTTTTTTACATTTTTTTTGTATCATTTAATTATTTATTATAATTTATTTTATAGGATAATTTCAATAAGAAAACAATTAGAAAACTAATATTTTACATATATACATATATATAATTATAATTTATATTCTTAAATATTTTAAATATATTGTATATAATTTTTATCACATGACAATTGTTTTTAAACAGATATATTTATTTTTTCATTAAATCGTAATGGTTGGCTTGAATGTAACAATCCACACATCTGAGATAATATATTAATGGCAGCTACATCTTTTGCCTCTGCAATAGTTTGTCCAAAACCTACAAGTATGATTTATTAATTATTTATTATATTATTAATTATTTATTTTACATATTATATCAAATTTGATATTATTACCTGATCCCAAATATTCTTTGTTTGCATAAATTCCAATATGATAAACTGATAAAATTGTGTTCTTGCCAGCTTGTCCAATAAGTCTTGCTTCTATAATTACTTTCCTTTTCATAGAAATCATATCAGTTAACGTTTCAAATGGTTTAGTTGGACACCATATTTCAGTTAAGTCTTTGCTGGCTAATCCTGCTATTAAAAAATCTCGAACAAAAATACCTGTATGATTGACATCAACACTTTCTGCAAGCGCTCCCACAAGTGCTAAAAATGTTTGTGCCAATGTTTCTTGGGATACAGGATACTCCTAAATGTATATGGAATTACTAATTTATTACTATATATGTAATATGTAAAAAAATTAGTGTTTTACGTAATATAATAAAATAAAAAATTCAAAATGCAACAAGTGCAATAAATTATATATTATATAATAAATATATACAAACACCAGTCAAAATAATGTCTTTTGTTCCAATATGCAAGGATGCTGTAGCTAATAGTTCTTGAGACATAAGATAGTCATGAAATGCTCTGAAACAATATTTATAAATATGTAATATGAAATCTGATTAATTAAATTATTTTATGCATCAATCAGATAT